TCCTTAATTCAGACTTCAAAACGCACAACGTCAAAACAGCGGACTGGCTCCGAGTCGCTCTTTTTCGCTGCGCGTCGCCCATTCTTTGTCGCCGACAATTCAGCGTACCAGGCGGGGCCTTTGTTGTGGAGTGTGTCTAGACGCTTCGGTCAAAGAGCTTGGGCTTTGAGGGTTGGAAAGAAAGAGGACAAGGAGACGAGAGGTCAAAGAGAGAGGACGAATCGGCCGGCACCAGCAACTCGCAAACCACCAAGTCACCCCGTAGCTCGATCGAGGCGATGATGGTTTAGTTCGCGCCGCCGTCAATCCTTCACCTCACATTCTCTTCGTCGATATTTGCGCATAGTTTGGTGCGTCGCGGTTTCCGTCTCGAGCAGACATCGTGGACATCGCTGACCGTTCGCAGGTCCCTCTTTAGTCAGACTTTGTTCTGTCAAGTACACTCGTTTATACTACGTCCTGACAGTACGTTGATTGGCACTGTGAGAGGCCTGGCTGACTTCTTACAGTATAACGATCCTTGATACCCACGGCTCGACTGCTAAATCTAATACAATGCGGATATCTACAGCAATCTGGTTCGCGTCCCTCGGCCTGGTTTCCTTCCATGGTCCCTTCACACTGGCTGAGGCCGCGCCGGCACCGCAACAGCAACAACGAGATCGCCCGCGGTACTACTTCCCCCGGCACGTAAAGCGCCAAATCACGTTCCCCAACACCACCATCCCCTCGGTTGCGCCGGTCGTGGAGCCCGTGCCATCACCCTCGCTGGATCCCTCACCGGTGGCACCCGTCGTATTACCGTCAAGTAGCGCCCCAGCGATAGTTCCCAATGTGCTTCCGTCAGGCACACTCGAGTCTATCCAGTCGGTGCTCGGCTTGCCACCTACAACACCGTCAGCGGCCCCGTCGGTTGTCGCCCCTGTCAGCAGTTTCGTAGCGTCGAACTCTGTGCCGTCGGGCGTGATTGTCGGCCTCTCAACCATCATCTCTGGGTCTGGCGCCGGCGCCGGCGTCGGCAGCGGTGAGATCGAGCCCCCGACCAGTGCGCCGGCACCGGTAGCGTCGGCGACAGCAGCTCCGGCCCTGGGCCTGTCCTCGGTATTAAATGGCCTGGTAGGGACTGCTCCGGCCGCCCTACCCTCCGTCGACCCGCTTGCGCTGCTGCCCAGCGCGTCGCCGCTGCCGAGCATTTCGCCGCTTATCGGGACAGCGCCGCCCTCTGTGGTTCTGCCCTCTGCTAGTCTGCCGGCTGCTGCTCTGCCATCGGACGGTATTCTTCCCAGCGTGCTCCCTTCTGTGAGCGCGCTTCCCAGCGTGGTGGTTCCGAACGTCTTGCCCAGCGGCAGTGACGTACCCGCAGTCCTACCGAGCGGCAGCGATCTGCCCAGTGTCTCTCTGCCAGGTGCTTCTCTGCCAGTCAGTGCTGGGCCCACCGGCAGCGACCTTCTCGGCGTGCTGCCGTCTGGTACCGGCATTCTCGGCACTGGCACAGCGCCCACGCTCCTTCCCACGGCTGCTCCCTCTGGCAGCGACGTTCTCGGCCTACTGCCGCCCGTCTCTACCAGTGGCTCGACTACCGCTTCCGATGCTGTTGCCGGCGCATCCGACACTAGCACCGCCTCGGTACCGGTTGGCACGGGCACCACGGCGTCCACGACTGACAGTGGAAGCACCACGCCTACCGGCACGGCCTCCGACGTTCAGGGCGTTCTTAATGCTTCGGGTACGGGCACCACCACGGCTTCGGATGCGTCCGCCACTGTCTCCGGCATTACACCGCCCAGCGGTTCCGCAGGCCTCACGGGTGCCCTTGCCAGTGAAACCAGCGTGAGCCCAACTTCCGTCACGGCCACCGCCACGGCGACTGCGTCGGACACCACCGATGCGGCAGACCTCCGCCAGGGCCAGTCGACCACCGGCTTCACCATCATCCCCACCGGCACCGACTCCAACACCGTCCTCCTAGCACCCACCTCCCTCCTCGTCCAGCCGTCGCAAACCGGCAAAACAACCTCCAGCGCGCCCTCGGGCATCCCATCCAGCATGCCAAAGGTCATCGCACCCCCCGGCGGGCCCCAGCAAAAGCCCGCAAACACGACCCTCGTGCAAATCGGCTTCACGCACGAACTCAACTACGGCTTCGTCGCCAGCAACCCGACCTCCGCGCGCCAAATCTTCGACTTCCTCCCCCGTGGCATCTCCGACGGGCTCCTCCTCGCCGGCGACCCCTACACCCAGGCTAAAATGCAGTCCCTCCAGCCGTACGACACGTCCAAGGCTATGGGGTACATCACCACGCTTGCGCTCCTCTACGTCCCCTCGGATATGGTCTCGCAGCTCGCGGTCGACCTGCACACGCCCAATTCGCCGCTGTATAACAACCCCGATGCGACGGTCGCGACGCTCATGTCTTTCGTCAACCCCGCCCTGCCCCTCCTCGCCGGCCAGCCCCTCGATGGCTCAACGCCCACCACGGACAAAGGCGCCGCAGCATCGCAATCCGCTGCTGCGAACGGCGGCGCCGCACCCTTCGGCGGCGACGCCGGAAACAGCGAGACGGTGCGCAGCTCTGCGGCTGCGATCTCGGGCTCCGTGGCTGCGGGCGTTATGCTCTATGGCGCGGCGATGGCATATGTGGCCCGTCGGTATAGGAAAAAGAAGCAGGGGCATCAGCGCGCGAGTAGCATTGGGGGGAGTGGGGATTGGGCGGGGAATCGGGGGAGTCGCGGGAGTGATGGGAGTAGTAATGGGCGCAGTGTGAGGACGGCGGGGATTTCGGCGCCGGTTATGGCGGAGAATAGTTTGGGGTGGAATTAGGCGGCTTGGTAGGTGGGGTGCTCGCGCTCTGATCCTGTCTCGTTGCCTCGTACGCCTTGGTCTGTGGTGATCTTGGATAATGTTTGGATATGGCCGGCGGAGGATGCCGGCAAGGGGTTTTGGATGTGATGGAGTTGCAAAACGGGCGGATGCGATATACCCCCTCTTTGCGCTACTTTTGCACCCGCTTACTACAGTCGAGTCGCACGACTCTTTTTCTTTTTTCTTGTGGTTGGAGAGATGATCTGGAAGAGGATTTTGGGGTTGGATTTAGGGGTTTGGTGTGCTTTGTTCTTGGGCGGGACGGATCGTTGAGATATCCCCTTCGTTTTTTTTGAGGTTGGGCACCCTGGTGAAGGCGGGTGTTTGTATCGATATTGCGTCGTTGGCGGGGACTGCGAGAGTAGCCTCCCGCCGCGGTAGCTACCAATTCGCATGAACTGCGGAATACTCTTTTCCTTTTTCTTCGTTTCTAGAGGGGGGGTTTCGGTGCATTGGTTGGTGATGAGGGTTGATGAGGTGAGGGGCGGTGTCTGGGGAGGGTCTAGGGAGGAGCCCGCGGGGGATGGGAGTGTATATAGTTGATGTTGGGGGGGTGGGGGGGGGGGGGTAGTTAGTAATGGAGTATTTTGCTTCGAGATTTGTCGTGGTGAAGTTGAGGTTCTGCAGGTGGTTAGCAAGGCTGGTGAGACTTCGCGATGGCTGGCGGGACATCGTGCCTCTATGCCATTTGCCTTGCCCTTAGTTCTAGAATCACACTCGGAAGCTTTCTATGTTCTGTAGAATTGTCGCTGATTGAAAGCTCTCAGTTTGTTTCTGTTCCTGCTGAAGTCGCTGTGGCAACTCGCACATTCCAGTCTGCGACATTTGCTCGTGATGAGCATTCTGTGGAAGGAACTCTTCGACGAGACCGTCGAAACACAGGTCATGCACCCATTAATCCAAACATTCAGATAGAGCTTAGAGCTCATCCTCATGCATTGTACGGGCATCTACGGAACCCCTCATGCCCAATTCTACCCTCTGAACCCACCTTTCCACTCCCACTTCACACCATTTCACAGTACCTCACAGTGACATCGGAATGGCCGAGTGGTTAAGGCGCCAGGCCCATGGAGCCCTTGAATTTTGCTCTTTATCTTTTAACTGCAGTTCGTGTCTCTTATTACTTGGGCTTGTGGTTTAGTGGTATAATATCCGCTTAGCATGCGGATGGTCCCGGGTTCGATTCCCGGCGAGTCCATGCTTTCGCTCCAGTGGTCTAAGACTTTGTCTTAACCTCTGGAGCGGCATCCTTTTTACTCATTTGATGGATGAATTTTTTTTTATGTTGGATTGAGAAGGGGATGGATGGACGGTTGGGTGGGGTCAGGACTGTGGTTCGTGGTGCAAAGGGCGAAGTCTTTCGTCGTCGCCCTCCCGATAGTCGCTGCTTCTTCCGCAGCGGAAACCAGCACAAGACACTGCAACAGCCTTTTTGGAACGCGGCTGCGAACTTTTAGCCCTCCACTAAAAACGGCGTCATAGCAATACTTAGCTAGTATTATATCTCCTCCCACGCAGCCAGAAGAATGCTCATGCCCAGTAGGGAGGGCGCCACGACTTTTTCGAATAGCACTTGGCGGAGACGGAGACGGAGACGTGGGAGATAGCATTGCTGGCTGAAGGTTCGACGTAGCAGCCAGGTGGCAGTGTCTGCATGGTTATTGCTGTACAGAAGGTATACTAGGTCGTTGACGCTTTAGATTCTAATCTGTGAGAAGTGAAAGAGCGTCTAACGCTTCAGACTCCAAATCTAGAGAAACTAGTGGGTGCCAGCCTTTGATGATAGCCTTTCGCCTTCAATTTCTCGCAGCTGCAAAAGCATACTTGGACAAAGTCTCCCTCACTCCTCCGTCGTTCTTCGGCTCGCTCAAAACTCAGCCTTCCCACTCCCAAACTCCACCGTCGTTCTTGAGCTCGCCCCAACCTCGAGTCTTCCCCTCGCCCAAAACCTCTCTCCCAGTAAAACGAATGCACCCCCAACCTCAGTTCCTCACAAGCGCATCCACAGCGGGAACGTTTTAACCGGCCGCCCTCTCGGTCCTATTAGCCTCACCATCGAACCGGTCTTTGTGGCTCCAGGGCTCGGCACCCCGAGTAGCAAAAAGAAGCGCCATCGCTGGTTTCGCTGGTTTCGCTGGACTCGCCGGGAATCGAACCCGGGACCATCCGCATGCTAGATATGCTAAGCGGATATTATACCACTAAACCACAAGCCCGTTGCTGTACCGGTGGGGTACGGGGAAAGGCTGAACGACGGCTGAAGGGGGTTGTGTGCTGAGACTCGGGCCGGGGGGTTGGTGGGTCCCGGGCCGATGGAAGTTCGCGAGAAGTTCGTCTGTTGGGATGTTGCTTGCCAGAAGACAGCTGGAAGGAAGACTAAGACGCTGATTCGGTGAATACACGAACTTGATGAACAAAAATGCAACGGAATGGGTATACGGATCGTTCAAACCCGGATATCAACCCGCCCATCCTCTCCGCCTTCCCGCAGTTTATACACTCTCGCCTCAGCGTCCAAAACAGCAAAAAGAGCAGCCGAAGCCGACATCATGGACTCGCCGGGAATCGAACCCGGGACCATCCGCATGCTAAGCGGATATTATACCCCTAAACCACAAGCCCTATTGCTGATATCTAGCCTCGTGGCTAACGTTGATGTGTGCCCTCTCCTGCCACCTCTCCTCCCCCTCTCGCCTTCATCGCTGTTGGATCAAAACCCCAATTCCGCCCTCATAGCCTCCCTCACAACCCCCCCACACAAGCGGGCATGCGGATTCGCCACAACCGCCATTCCCCTCCCCACTTCTCCCCCATACACACCCGCCATGAAGAAACACCGACTACCCTCCTCCTCCAGCGCCACCTTATCCCCTTCCAACCCCAACTCCTCCCCATCCCCATCCCCTCCCCGCTTCGCAGCTTCCCACACCACAGCCCCGCGCTGCGTCCACGCCACCGCCAGCACGCGGGCTTGAGCCGGGCTCACGGCTCCACCTGGCGGAGGTGTGGCGAGGCTGATCGCGGTGTCGCAATCCGCGAGCGCGGCGCGCATCGCCGTGCTACGCTCTGGGCACGCTGGGTGCCCTGCCCATTGCCAGCGGCGCACTTGCGCGCGGTTGTTCCACGCGCTCGCATAAGCAGGCTCATCCGCCACGAGCTTGTCGAGGAGTTTGAGCGCGGCAGATGCCGTGGCCACGCGGTCGGGGGGGCTAGGCCTGGACTGGCTGGCCTCGCGGTGCTTGGCCTCGTACGCCTCGACCAAGCTGATAGCCTCGCGCTCGCGCTTGCGCAGAGACAGGAGCCTGGAAGCGGGGACGTGTGGATCGGGCGGGAGGGAGGGGGTTATTGTTGGACCTGGGGTGGGGGCTGCGGAGGGGTCGAAGAGGGTTGTTAGGATGTGGGTGTCGTGCGGCGAGAGTGCTGCCGATGCCATTGTTATTGCCGAAGCCATCATCTGTGGAGAGGGGAAGGCCGATGTGGTCCCGCGGGAGGAGGCGCCGATAGGCGTATATGTACGTCCGCCCCACGCAAACCGCGACGTCACGCAGCCTTGCGCGCGCAGGACCGCCGCACCAACATTCCACAACACTTACCCCGCCCCTGCAAACATCTTCATGGCCAGTAACACTCCTCTCCCACTATCTTAAAGCACAGTAAGCCCATTGAATGCACGCGCGGCTGCCGATCCCTACCACAGTACACTCCAAATCCGTTGATATCCGCACTTAGCCGCGCCCGCCCAAAAGCAGATCACGAACCCCTCCCCCCCATGCCGCGCGCAGCGCAGTCGCACGAATAAGCTTGCAGCCTCAGCGGCCGGCGCAAAGCGCAAGAAGTAAGACGCTGCTGCGTTGACGTGGTGGATGCGTGAAATCAAGGATGGGTGGATAATGGATGGAGGCGCGGCGATGTCACGCGATAAGGAGTGCGAGGACGGGAGGGGAGTGGTATATCAAGCTGTTTCCGGCGCTGTGTGAGGCTGATATCGAACTCAAGATTGTTCTGCCAGTGCAACCGCAACTTAGACCTCACTCTTTACCTCAAATCACACCCTCCATATCGACCAATCCACCCCAAAATGGCACCCCACGCCGCCTCACCCCCCCTCCCAACAACCATCCTCTCCTCAACCGGCGCACTCACCCCCATTTCCTCTTCCCCCTCCTCCACCCTCCCCGCCCCCGCCGTCCAACCCCCCACCACCTACACCGGCTACCACCACATAACCTGGTGGGTCAGCAACGCCAAGCAAGCCGCCTCCTACTTCACAACCCGTCTCGGTTTCACGCCCCTCGCCTACCGGGGCCTCGAGACCGGGTCCCGCACCATCGCCTCGCACGTCGTATCCAACGCCGGCGTGCGCTTCGCGTTCACCTCCCCGCTGCGCGCCCCGGATGCCCAGGGGCTGAGTGAAGCCGAGAGGGAGGAGCTCCGCGACATGCATGCGCATATCGCGAGCCATGGCGATGGGGTCAAGGACGTGGCGTTTGCGGTGGATGATGTTGCGGCGGTGTATGGGGCGGCGGTGGCGCGGGGCGCGGTGGGTGTGCGAGACGTGCAAGAGGTAGGAGATGAGGGAGGAGTAGTGCGGCTGGCGACGGTGAGGACGTATGGTGATACGACGCATACGTTTGTCGAAGACCGCGGGTACAGCGGGGCATTTTTGCCTGGGTTTCGGGCGGTGGAGAATAAAGATACGTTGCTGGCGCGGCTGCCGGATGTCAAGATGGAGGCGATTGACCACTGCGTTGGGAACCAGGATTGGGGGCAGATGGAGGAGGCCTGCGACTAGTACGTTTCTTGATATTGTTAGGATGTGGGCTGACAGACCAGCTATGAAAAGTGCCTCGGATTCCACCGCTTCTGGTCCGTCGATGACAACGACATCTGTACCGAGTTCTCGGCGCTCAAGTCCGTGGTCATGGCGTCGCCGGACGAGTGCGTCAAAATGCCAATCAACGAGCCGGCGCACGGGGTGAAGAAGTCGCAAATCGAGGAGTGAGTTGCCCTTTATCATGTCCGCCCTGCTAACGCCCCAGGTACGTCGACTTCTACAACGGTGCCGGCGTCCAACACATCGCTCTGCGCACACCAGACATCATCTCAACCGTCAGCGCCATGCGAGCCCGCGGCGTCGACTTCATCAGCGTGCCCGACACATACTACGCAACGATGCGCGCGCGGCTAAAGACCAGCGCCGTGCGGCTAGTCGAGGACATGGACGAGATCCAGCGGCTGAATATTCTGATTGACTTTGACGAGGGAGGCTACCTGCTGCAGCTGTTCACAAAGCCACTGCTCGACCGGCCAACAGTATTTGTGGAGATCATCCAACGGAATAATTTTGACGGATTTGGAGCCGGTAACTTTAAGAGCTTGTTCGAGGCCATTGAGCGCGAGCAGGCGCGGCGGGGTAATTTGTAGGAGTAATTCATGGCAGTGTAAGACTCTCCAGACTCCGGTCTACGACGGGCATGTGCGGCACCAACTGGTTCGGGTCGCGCATGACGGCGGGCACGTCGGCACGCCCGACGGCAAGCTTGCTTTTGACTTTGTCATACGTATCCTCGCGCGCCACGTACTCGCGGATGACCTGACGCGTGGCGAACTCGACGAAGACGCGCGTGTCGCGGATGCGGAAGAGTACACCGTCGAGGCGCAGGAAGAAGCGCGACAATAGCAGTAACCGCGCAGGCATGACGCGGATCTTGCACGAAAGCATCGCAATGCCGTTGTCTGCAAGCTCGTCTTCGTAGAGCACGACCTCGTCGAAGAAGATTATGGGATCGGGCCGAGTAAGCAGATGCAGTGGGATCTCGGCATCCGATGGTGACAACGGCGGTCCGGTGGTTGTGCCTTTGAAGTCGGTGCTGTACGACCAGTCGAAGGGCTTGACAACCTCCTTGATGTCCTCATGCACGTGTTGCCTGACAGTTAGCATGATAGGCGGAGGAAAACACGAACAATACCTGTTCTTCTGCCACTCCGATGAGTACGCGACTTTGAGCATAGAGCCGCCGGTCTTGTCGACGCGGTCTAGGGCGTCAAATGCCGAAAATCCAATCGACCAGCCGCTCTGTTTATGCTCGATGGTCACGCCGTTGTCTCCAAAGATCATCTCCGGCGGCGTGATGCCGAGCTGGGCCGTCATTTGTTCGATGGGGCCGGCCTTGAGGATGGGCAGCTTGTGCGTCGTAATGGTGAAGCCAGACTGTGTGACCGACTGACCGGCATCAGCTTGCAAAGGAAAATGAGCGGTGATGTCCATCTTGGACGCAGTGGGGTGGTTCATCGTGGGCTGGTGGGTTGGTGGGGTTGTGGTGGTTCAACTGCGATCCGAAGTTGTGGTGGCTTGACTCGCAACCCGGCGTCGTGGCGCATCACGTGCTCAGTTGCCCCGCAACCAGTGTTTCATGGCATCCGAACCCTATCTCGAGCATCGCCATCACAACATCGCAACATCACCTACCAAACACTCTCTACACCATGGCCTCCGATCTTGAATCACGCTTCGAGGCGATTAGCATCAGCGACGAGAATGAGACCAGCGTACCGACGTACAGCAAGTCCAAGGTTCGTCGTCTGCAATTATTCACGTTTTATCTAACCTTCCAGGGCTCGCTGTCCACGGCCATCACCATCACAGGTCTGGGTACCACGGCAAACCAGGCTCGCATGAAGCTCCCGCTTCAAAAACTGCAAGCACCGAATGCCAAACCAACGGCTACCATCACAAAGGTCACCCTGCCCTCGCAAGCGGCTCAGCAATTCCCAAAAGACGGCTACAGCGCCCGCACTCCACCCTTAGAGTCCGCCCTCCGCGGCTCCGAGCCGCAGCTCCTCGCTCAACCGCGCCAATTCCACCTCGGCATGTTTGAGATCGGAAAGCCGCTGGGCAAGGGCAAGTTCGGGCGTGTGTACCTGGCCAAAGAGCGGTCATCGGGCTTCGTGTGCGCGCTCAAGGTACTACACAAGTCGGAGCTGCAGCACGGCGGCGTGGAGAAGCAGGTACGCCGCGAGATTGAGATCCAGTCCAATCTTGCGCACACCAATATCCTGCGTCTTTTTGGTCACTTCCACGACAGCAAGCGAATCTTTTTGATTCTTGAGTTTGCGGCGAAGGGCGAGTTGTACAAGCATCTGCGCAAGGAGACGCGCTTCCCTGAGTGGAAGGCTGCGCAGTACATTGCGCAGATGGCGTCGGCGCTCAAGTATC